GACATTACCAGCATCACAATCCATTATGTACGGCAGTGATGGATTTGGAAGCTTTAAAAGTGGAGCTGAGGCCAATTTTTCCTTCAATGTCTTGAAATCATGCTGACAAGAAACTGTCCATTCAAACTTCTGCCTTTTTTGGTCAAATCATGTAGTGGAAAAGCTATAGTTGCAAAGTCCTTCACAAACTTCTGGTAATAGGCAGAGAGTCCCAAGAAACTTCTTAACTCTACCACATTATCTGGTTTTGGTTAATCACGTACTGCTTTCACCCTGTCAGAATCAGTTCGCACACCTTGCTCACTTACAATGTGACCCAAGGAAAGCACCTCTTTCTGGAACAAGTGGCATTTCTTGGGATGGAGTTTGAGATTTGCTGCTTTCAAACGATTGAATACTTCTTCCAGCCAGGACATTTCCTCATCAAACGTTGTTGCAAACACAATGACATTATCCAGGTACACTAGGGCTATCCTCTATTGTAGGCCTTCCAGTAATCCTTTATTCAGCCTATCAAATGTTGCTGGAGCATTGCTAAACCTGAATGGCATCATACAGTATTGCTAGAAAACTTGGCCAAAACTAAATGCAGTCTTAGGTTTATCTGCTTCAGCCCTTTTCACTTGACGGAAACCAGACTTTAAGTCTAGAGTTGAGAACCACCTGGCCCCTCTTAGTGGCTATGAGTCCTTTTCAGTTATACTGTTAAGAGCCCTGAAGTCCACACAGCAGTGTTAGGTCCCATCCTTCTTCTGGACTAACACGACGGGAGCTGACCAAGAACTTTCTGATTTCTCGACTATCCCTTCCTTAATTAGGCCATCCATGCCCTTCAACATCTCTTGTCGCTTTGTCAGAGATATTCTCCTCTGAGGGATCTTTATTGGACGGTGATTGCCTGTGTTTATTCTGTGCTCTACAAGGTCTGTGCAGCCGAGGTCATGATCTCCTTTGGAAAAGACGTCTGCATAATTCGCCAAAAGTTCCCTAACCTGAAGAGCCTGTGATGATTACAAATGGACTATGCTCTTCTTATAGAGGTCAGTTAAATGTTCTGGGAGAGGATGTCCTTTCTTTACGGTTGTATTTCTTGCCTTAACATCGACTGGCTCTACCTCCTGGCACACACCCAACAATGCCCCTTCCTTAAGTGTCCGCTCACATTTAGAGAAATTAGCCACTGTTATTGGTACTATTTGATGACCTGCCACAAGTGATCATCTAATCTTCACATCTGCTGGCCTAGATGAGTCTTCCGTTGCTTCCACAAGCATCGGGCTACCTTGGGGATGTTCTTTTATTCTATCCCAAATTATCTTCTCTGACATAGGGGGTATTGTAGTTGACTTAAGTGCTGTGACATGCAAATCAACAGAAGCAGCAACACTTAGCGGTATTTGGCCTTTGTTGTTCCCAAACGTCATTTTATCAAAATTAACTACACACTTCCTCAGTAGTAAGTAGTCCAACCCTAGTATGCATTGGTCTTCAATGTCAGCAAAGTATACTTTGTATCTGTCCTTTATGCCCTTGAGATCAATAGTTACCCACACTGGTCCCCAAACATTACATAATGTCCTGTCGCACCACAGAGCTTCTGTATGGCTTCTGGTACTCCTTTGTGATCTAGCACCTTGATACTCACAAGGGTTTCCTGAGATGGAAAATTTATGACAAAGGTGCACTTTTGGACATCCAGCTTTCCTATCACGTAGACACTATGTGTGCTTGCCATTTTACACTTCGCTGTTGGAATTTTCACAATGGGGGTTGGTGGGTGTCCCTCAGCACCAACCACTACTGGTTTCCCTGAAGCTGACTTATTTGTAGTATTCTTCTTACACAGGCTCCTCATATG